ATGACTTGTTGTCAAGTCATTTTCAAAGAATTACAATCTCTGAGAACACAGCAAGGACAAAATATGGAACAACCGAAGGAAGGGTAAGATTTTCCTATCAAGTGATAAAAACTACAGATGTCAGCAACAATAAATGAGCTGGGCAGAGATTACATAATTCAGCTTTAGTGAGAAGTTGCCTCATTCCAAAGCATTCATAGTTGCATCTTGATCTATCTTGTTTATTCAAAGCTTGTGGTTTTTCCAACATATATAGCTGCATTCATGTACTTTTGGTATTTCTACAGCATTTCTAAGTTGTTCGCTTTCTCTCAGGAGAGTTGGTACTCACTAATTCCGCTGATTTGAAAAATGTTCATCTTCCCACCAAGTTCTGTGTCACACCCATCCACATAATACATCATGTGGGCCCCACCTTTCTTTGCAGAAGGCTTGCTCAGACACAGCTGAGGGGCAGGGAGAGGAGGCATTGCAGATCAGCTGGCTGGAACACTACCAGTTAGGGCAGGTTTGTGAGTTTGAGCCTGGGGCAGATTGAGTCTGTCTTCTGTTCATGGCTCCCAATTGCATCCCCAGCATCCAATCCACCCGACCTCATTCAAGATTAGAATAAATGATAGCAAACCCTATTGTGGGTGGATGGGCTCCTACTTATCACCAAACTTGAGAAGCAACTGTAACAGCACAGGCCTAATTATTGATCATCTCTGTAAGTAAAAGACAGATATCAAAATATTAAACAAAATTTTTTGTTGTTGTTAAATAAAATGTGCCTCATTGGAAATAATTTCCCAGCTCTGAGCATCTCTCAACTAAATGATATGTGCCAAAGAAGTAAACACATCACAAAATCTGACATTTCAGGACATATGGGCAGTGAGAAGAAAAACAGAGGAAGGTAGTATTTCAGGAAGAAGAAAAAAAAAAAGACAGCTGAGAAACAGTACTAGTTAGATTTTTTGTGGTGATTTTTCTTTTTGTTTATAATTTTCCTAATATGCATAATACTAGGTATAGATTTGGAACTCCCCACCCCCCAAAGAGTCTCTTGTTATCTTGATATGTCTCCAAAAGTTATATTTGCTTATATCACAATCAAAATTTAGAACTCACTGCATGTAAAGTAGAAAAGTAAAACATTAATATGAACTAAAAATGTCTGATAAAATTATAGGTACGTTATTTTACTTGTATTTTTCAGTCTTTTCCAAGTAGTCTACCATGAACATGAACTACCCTCACAAATAAGAAAAATATCCTTTAAACCGCCTGCTAATGAAGACAATGCCGTTTTGTATGTTCCAAAGTTTGTAATATGGGCATTGCCTATTCTTTCTCCATCCCTTCTTTCACTCTTCAAACAGCCAGTTTTGGAAATGAGATTCTGCTTTGATGGTAGGCCAGGGTCAAATTAAACTACTTCTGAATTTCACAAGTCCAACACTTCAAATGAGAGATTTCAGCTCACTCAACACATTCGAACACTCGTGCAAAATGAAACGTTGCTTATGTGAATAGTTAGCTTGGATAACATGTGAAAGCAAACAGACTTTTTCTAGGGCAGTCTCTAAGTGTGCTTCCCTCTGTGCTCTTATAAATGAACACTGATGTGGGTGAAGAGAAGGGTCTTTCCTTTGCCCCAGCACAGGGTTTCTACAGTGGTGTGTGCAGTGTTGAGACAGGACTGAGAGAGGATAAGTACCCAGCCAGCCAGATCAGACCTGAACCAGAAGAAAAATTTCTCAGCCAGACAACCAGCGTGTCACATTCTACAAACACCAGCTAGAACTTAGTCTTTAGCCCTAGCATTGGAGACAGAGAGAACAACTGTGGTGCTTGGGGTGTATGAACAGCCAGCATTGTGCTAGCTCAGCTAACTCTACCACTTAGTTACAATTTCTATTTTTTAAATATCTACCTTCATGCAGCTGACCTTTGTACTTTGCTGGTTAATTGTAATGTTATCTTTAAAAGGTGATAGCTAATTGAGAGCAAATGAAAGCAGACACAAGTGAAATGTAGCGTGTCCCTGGCTAATTCGGAACTGCTTCAGTCACTAGGGATGCAATACAGTTACCACCCCCAGGCTGAGGTGTTCAGAGTCTTTTATTCTGGAGTTTGGCCCAGCTGGGGCTTGAAACTGGCTCCATATGACTAGTAGCATTACCAGATGGTGGGATCCTCTAGGAAGCCATTCTGCTGTGGGCTTTTCAGTTCCCAACCAGGTCTCTGACCACGCTGCTTTCTCACCCAGTCACAATCGAACTCAGCTCTCATTCCTGAATTAACCAGCCTCTCACTATCTGAGAGAGAGAGATAGATTGGTCCTCTATTTCCCATTTATGCTTGTAGAAGCTGCATTCTTTTTTGCCCCGTTATCAGGATTTCTCTCCCCAAAAGCCATTTTTCTTATTTTTTTTAAGTCTTGCTTTGTTTTGTTTTAAGAAATCCTTCTCTTCAGTCTTATCTGATATTTCTTAATTTCAAAAATAATTGAAATCCTTACCAACCATAATCTGGGCTTGGTTAGAAATATGCCTGCCAAAACCAAAAAGATAATTTATTTTTTAAAGTAGTTTCTTCAGAGAGGAACGTGTTTGGTTTTGGTTTTTGAATGTTTTATTTTTGTTTGCTTATTTTTGTTCTTGGCCAAATAAGTCTCCCTTTCTATTCATTTCCGTGCCTAATCGCCACTGATTCTGGGACGTCCCCAAAGGTGTGCACTAAATTCCATTTTGCTTGTGTTAGCCAGCTTTTGGTTAGCTGGCTTTGGTTTAGCCAGCTTAGCCTCTCAATAAACAAAAATATTAACCAATGCACCTTGCCTCACCTCTTCTCCCTGTTCTAAAATTTCTAGTAATTAAACATAGATGAGATAGCAGCCATCCTAATGTTATCTCCCAGATAAATTTCCCAGGTCGGTAAACTGAAAATAAAGGATGGGGGACAGGAGTTGATACAAGGAGAGGCTACTTCGGCAGCACACTATCCTGATGTACATCCATCAGACACAAAGAACCGTGAGAGGGCACGTGTCCATCAGCAGCATAGGAGGTCAGGACTTTGTTTACAGTTTAACCCATAGCTGGCTTTGGTGAAAGACTATGTGCTGGGATCTTTCCTTCTTTTTCAGAAATAAACACTTTGGGACAGAGATCATTGGGATTCGGGAAAGAGGGTAAGGACAGACACCATGGGCAGGCAGTGACAGAGCTGCTGCTACACATCTCCTTACATATACAGAGTCATCCATACGCTTTCACGGACATTCTCTCTGCTGCTCTTGGCAGCAGTGCTGGAGGGTGGGAGGAAAGCAGGGCAGATATTGTGGTTTCAATTTTATTGTTAAAAACACTGAGCTTCAGAGAGATGAATTAAGTTTTCAAAGGGTCCAATGCTAAAACCCTCATCTGCTCTCTTTACCTTTAAATAAACCAATGAGCCAGGCTAAGCAATGTGTTGTCAGACAGGAAAAAACAGTGAGTTAAGAGTTTTAGACCTTTAATTATTCATAGCTGCTACTGAGGATATACCACCTGTTAGGTTCCGAGTTGAGTCCCTTACCTCTAAGGTGGGGATAACATCTGGTGGCCCAAGAGAAGGGCCTGGCAGCGCAGCAGGTGCTTAATTAATGTTGAATGAATGAATGAGAGAGAACGGGCAACCTGAGCGGCCTCAGCGCCCTGCAAGGTGCTCTGATTCCGCTCGACAGGTAAGCAGAAGGCGCCCGAGGGGCTGGTGGAGAAGCCCACTGGCCAACTGCAAAAACTTTTATGCTCAGATTGTTTTTTTCAGGGGCGAAGTCTGAAATGAGGAACCACCATTCCGCCTTCCAACAACCTGCTGTGGCAAATCCCAGGGGGAAGCAGTTCTCCTTAGGCTTTGGGTTGCTCCCAATCCTTTCTGCTCTCACCTTTCAAGTGCGTTTTTGGAGAGACTCAAGGCTCCTTTAGAGGGGCGGCAGCCTGGAGGCGGCCCGTCATTGTCAGCTCCGGCCCTTTACAGAAGGAGCCCGGCCCGGGAGCCCGCGTTGCTCGCTCGCTCGCTCGCCCGGCGCAGCGTCGCCCAGCGGGCAGAGGCGGCGAGCGCGCTCGGGGCCTCCCTCCG